TAATGAAAATATTGTAATGAATAGTTTCATAAACAACGTTCAAAGAACAATGGTCACGAAACTGTTTCAATGTGAAAATGTTTCATTGTAAAATGGTTTATTTGCTCCGTCTATGCATATTATACGTGTTAATGAAATAGGTGCTTTGTGATTGAAGTTTCATGGTTATCCTTGTTGCTTTGTGATTGAATGTACATCTAGGTTCATGGTGATCCATGTTGCTTTGTGATTGAAGTTGATCCGTTTAGTTGGTAGGATGAAAATGAAACAGGTGCGTAATGTATTGTGTTCTTTTATGAAATAAATATATGATGAAACGAGTGCATGTTATATTTTGTTCTTTATGGAATTAATGTTAATGTGAAAATGTTTCATTATAAAATGGTTCATTGATGTTATATTAATGTTAACTTTTGTTTATGAAATTAATGTTATATTGATGTTAACTTTTGTTTATGGAATTAATGTTATATTGATGTTAACTTTTGTTTACAAATTTGCCCTTATCATTGAAATAAAATAATTTTTTAATATTTTTTATTTTTTAATTTCCTAAAATAAAATAAACTAATTTTAGCCATTGATCAAGAAAATGGACGGATGAGATTGGTTTATACGGTTTACACAAATGAGACAAATTTTTATTTGAACGCTCCTCTCTCTCTATATATATATATATTTCCTTCTCGTGACGTGGATATATATATATATATATATATATATATATTTCCTTCTCGTGACGTGGTCTTAAAGTAGTTTATTTCATATCCACATATACAACGTAAAGTAGATGTGGTGAAGTTGAACATGTATTATGGGCCAATAACAATCACCATAACTCTTTAATGACACCCATAAATCCACGTAGACCAACTCCAACCACTCTTCTATTCCCATATATACCACCCCTACCCCCACCCCCACCCCCACTCAAAATCAACCATGTCCATCTTACCCAACCACCACCACCATCCTGCCGCCATCGGCCGCCACTACCGCCGCCGTAGCCACCGTGTTTATGCCGCGGCAACAACTCCAACAAAAACCAGACCGAAACTCGAAAAACTAACCATTAACCCAACACCCCTCATTACTCCACCCAAACTAGATGACCCAAGTCTTAAATCGACATGGTCTCACCGTGCATGGGTGGCCACCGGTTGCACCACCGTGATAGCTTCTCTAGCTGCCTCGTTAATCGGTTCGATCGACTCACACATATGGCTCGAACCCATCTTGTCTGGGTTTGTCGGCTACTTGTTTGCGGACCTCGGGTCCGGTGTCTACCATTGGGGCATCGACAATTACGGCGATGCCTCAACTCCAGTATTCGGTTCGCAAATTGACGCATTTCAGGGACATCATAAATGGCCTTGGACGATCATTAAGCGTCAGTTTGCGAACAATTTACACGCGTTGGCACGTGTAACTACGTATACTGTGTTACCGATCGATTTGATCTGGCACGACCAACCGGTGGCGATGGGGTTCGTCGGGGTGGCGAGCGGGTGCATCATGTTTAGCCAGCAGTTTCATGCTTGGGCTCATGGGACTAAGAGCAAACTGCCGCCGTTGGTGGTGGCGCTGCAAGACGGTGGAGTACTTGTTTCACGATCACAACATTCAGCCCACCACCGGCCGCCGTATAACAACAATTACTGCATCGTGAGTGGGGTGTGGAACAGGTTTTTGGATGAAAATAAGGTGTTTGAAGCTTTGGAAATGGTGGTTTTCTTCAAGAGTGGGCGGCGGCCGCGGTCGTGGAGTGAGCCGAACTCCGATTGGACGGAATCGACGGTGGAGTCTCCGGCGATGGCTGATTGATCCATTCCTTGAGATGCGTTTATAAATAAAAGAAGCATATACCATTTTGACTATATATATTTTCATTTTAATTATTTATTTATTTAATAAATTATGAATTTATTAAATTGAAATAGAATATAAAATTCGGATTTTATTCGAAAACCTTACAAACTAATTACAATCAATCACATAAATTTATTTGTTTTTTTTAATTTATAAAGTTATTATGATCATTTGAATTTACAATAGTTATGTTTGGTTGATTATTTGATATAATAGATAAGTTTGGTAACAATATAATATTTTATATAAATGTGAATGATATATTGATTAACACGATATTAGCAAAGATTTAATTGAGATATTCATTAAATTTTTTGAAAAAAATCGCCACATTTTAAAAAATGTAGAATAATTTTGTTTAAAAAAATCGTCAGTAATTTCTAATGAAACATAATCAAACTGTTCAATGAAACAGGGTAATTTCCAATGAAACATGGTCGTATATGATTGCATCAGGTTCATATGTTTAACAGCTGTAATAAAACAAGTTTATATTCATCAGTATGTATAACAGTTTGTAATAAAACAAATTCATATGTATAACAGTTATAATGAAACAGATTCATATGTCATCTATGATTGCATTAAGTTCATATGTATAACAGTTGACAGTTGTAATGAAACAAGTTCATAGGTTATATATAATTGCATCATGTTCATATGTATAACAGTTGTAATTAATGAACCGGGTTCATAGAACATGTTTTCCCCGTTTCACCCTTCCGTGTCTCCAATATGAATTCTTTTTTTTTTTACTTTACTTATTTAGTTTGTTTTAATCTTGACCTTTCATCAAAAAAATGGATTAACGTGATTAGTTTGTAAGGTTTGTACGAAATAGATGGTATGCAAAGTACAATGGATCATGTGAGACCAAGGGTTTTTCGTGAGACCCGTAAGACCAATTTATGTTCATTGATCAACTTTATAAGCTAATGATCTAATGGTATAAAGTTGTACGGTGACAATTTTATAATTATTGAGAAGCCTTGTGACAATTTTATGATTATGAAAAAGAGAGAAAGAGAGAGAGAGAGAGAGAAGTGTTTCCGTTTACAAACCTGTTCATTCTTATAAACTATACAAACCTATCCAACCCATTGATAAGATTCAACTATGTACGGTTGATAATGATTCAGATGTACTTTTGTTGATAATTTCAGCAATTTCATCCAGATTTTTATTATATAAAAGACAAAATGGAAAAATGCAAGACGCCAAATTCGAAATATTCCAATCGCCTTGACAAAATCTCTCCCTTACCAAAACCTTAAAACACAAAATACAGTTATTCATACAAGAAAGGATTTGCCCACACAAGGACCGCTCGATGAAGGGGGCACGGGTAAAGCTACAGGTCCCATTTTCTTTCTTCGGAGCCGTTTCTTTGCTGAGATGTAAGGTGCAGGTGGTGATGATCAACCCGGGGTATACGCTAACGCCCTTGTTCAAAAACCTCGTACGAGAACTTCTAAACAACATCGTAGTTGTTTTTGTTAGAACATTTGGCTTCCGAAACATGTGCAACAAAAAAAGAAGTTTGCCCACAATTTTGACGAAATGGAAGAAAAAAATATTTGAAAAAGATATCGAGACAACAACAAAAACGTATGCTAAAGTTTGAAAAACAAACCAGAAAGAAATAACAACATATAAGCAGGCGTAGATACAAAAAAAACGTAGCAAAAGTAAGAAAAAATATACAGATATAGTCTAATTTAAAACTCTGTAACCTAATTGTCTGCTCACTAACCCGCCTCTGTTTTGGATAAAAAAGTCATATGTCCTAAAATCACATGTGTCATTCATGTTCCACCAATGAAATTAAGACATGTCATATTTTCATTTGTTTTAGATTTATTTAATTCATGTTTACTTTCTCTCTCTCTCTCTCTCTCTCTCTCTCTCTCTCTCTCTCTCTCTCTCTCTCTCTCTGTGTGTGTGTGCTTACGTGTATTTATATGATTGGTGGACATAAATGAAACACATGATTTTGAGAGAGGTGATTTTTATTCCTCCATATTACAGGTGATCATTTAAGGGCCCAGGCCAGGCCTAATTTATTTTCTTATCCAACAGACTTAATATAGTAAACTCAAGTCCTTTTTTTCGGGTTTGATAACTTGTCATTGCCCGCCCTATGAACGGGCTGGGATTGCCCACATGCTAAGGTCTAAAAAGCGTAACTCTTAATTAACAAATGTTGATCCAAAAAGTAAAGAAAAAACATCGTTGCAATTAAAACTTTAAGCAACCACTGACTCTATCCATTCTTGATCGATTAAGAGTTTTGACATAAGAATGCTAACAAAGATAATATAGTCTTTTTGGGTTAGAAAAAACAAAGAGTCCCAACTCCCATCCTATAACTTTAGTAATTTAATTTTAAAATATAATAATATAATTTTAATTAATGGTAAAAAAATATTAATTATAAAACATAAACGGGCCAAACGGGCCTGTCCATATTTATTTTTATATAATTATATCATCCATGTCCGTCCGTTAATTTTAACGAACAAACCCGAACCCGTCCATTTTCTCGATAATGGTTATCCAAACCCGTATTTCTAGCGAGCCGCATAAACCGAGTCTAATAAGTCGTCTCGCCCATAAACAGCTCTACGGTAGCTACAATCCTCAAGTCACACATCTTCAAATTTGCTTTTAAAAAATACATATTAATAGTTTTGTTTAGTGATTTTTGAATTCATATTAAATTGAAGTGCACTTATGACCATTTTATTATATTTATAATTTTTTTTATTAACCTGGATATCCAACCCGTTATTCGAGCCGACTAATTCCAGGACGACCACCTGCTTTGTAGATAGTCCGGAGTCACCGCATTTGAACCTCCGTGGCTACAATGAGATTTTTATTCCTCCTTGGATTTTAACCTAGGACCTCTAGGTACTTTTGACCTTTGGAGTCAAGCTCAAACCAATCAGGCACCTCCCATATAGTTATATTTGCAATAGTTTAATATAACAAAATTAGGGATGATGCTACCAAACTATAAAAGTCTAAGGGACCGTTTACTAAACGCTTACCCAGTAAATACTTACCGGGTAATTTTCCTCACCTTACGTGAATATCCAATGAACGAAGGTGTGATGATGGGTTTATGAAGTCGTATGATACAAGTCGTTAAAATTAAAATCTAAAATTAAATCAAAAAACGAATAAGTAGATATATAATAAAAAATAAAAAAATCCACATGGATCGTGTTTGCAACCCATGTTATTAATGGTGTGGCTTTTCTTGGTGTTAATATTCGATTTTTTAAGGAGAAGAGAGAATTTCTTGTATAGATTCCTAGAAAATGATACAAAGAGAAAGAGGGTATCCCTTGGATACAATTGTTTTCTTGATTTCCTTGTGAATTTATCTATCTATATCTATATATATCTATATCTATATATAGAGAGAGAGGTTGGTTATTATACAACCCTTGACATTTGTGCAACCAATACAACTCAATCTCAACCGTCAATTTCATTTGATTAATATGTGATTTCATAGAAGTTTTGATTGTTACCTAATATAAAGTATTGATCATAATTAATAAACCATATTTATCTTCCACAAATATTCAAATCATAATAAATGAACTCTCATCATTTTCATAAATATATCAATTTATTGGATTGCGTTGGTTGTACAAATGCGATAGGTTGTATTTGAAACAAACTCTATCTATATATATATATATATATATATATATATATATATAAAGTTTATAAACTATACAAACTCATCCAAGTCATTGATAAGATTCGTCTACGGTTGATAATGATTTAGGTCTATTTTTTGTTAATCATTTCAACAATTTTATCTGGATTTTCAACATATGCGTGCTCTGAAGCAAAAAATAGTAAAATTCAAGAAGCTCAATTGGAAAGATTCCAATCACCTCGAGAAAATCTCTCCCTTACCAAAACCTCGAAACACAAAATATGGTTATTTACATGTCGTAAAGGATTTGGCAATTGATATCTGAAAATGGATTTTCTATTCTGGATTCATGAACGAAATTTAGGTTTAGGCATCAAAGAATCCATGAAATAACAAGAAACACTCGTTGGGATGTGCATCAGGTTCTTGTTAGGATTGATACTAGCGACACCGTGAAGAGTTGAGTGCTAGTTAGATGCATGAGAAAGATTTAGCTATTCAAGAACTTCTTCCATATTCTACTGGTCTCTGAATTTGGGCTAAACTTTATGGAAAGTTTGTTTGTCGTTTTGTTGATGATAAATCTAGATTTGTTGTTTGAAAAAAACCAAGTACTGATTTATATATAGAAATTTATTTACCTGTAGTTGCTCTTTCACATTTAAGGGTTGACAAATAACATGAACAAGAAGCAAAACCGTAAATCAAGAACACAATTAAGACGGTGTTGATGCAGAGACGCAGTGGTGGAGAACGCCAAACGACATGAGAATGTTGGACGAGATTGAAGAACCAAAAACGTGAAAACCTTAGCTAAGTTGGTGTTGTTGTGGATCGTGGGTGCCCCTCGCACGTCTAGCATGTGAAGGGGCTTAACGGATGGAATTAACACCATTACCAAGGACGATATTGTAGGCTGGAGGTGAAAGCAGATGGAAACGTTGGCAACCTTAGTGTCGTTCTGAATAGATGAACAATATCCAAAGTTTGAGTAAACCATAGAGACTATTTACGTAATTTACTATTTTTAAAATTGTAATTAAATCTAAAAGGAAAATAGTAATTTTACTATGATTTAATTTTTTTTGTGAGGCCACACATTTGGACTTGATATAATGTAAATGACATAGATTAGCAAAACTTTGATGGCTAGATATTACGTACTATGTTTGGTATGTGCATTTATATACACCATATATATATATATATATATATATATATATAGTCATATTTGATTTAATCGTTCTCGTGTTCTTTTATTTTGATTGATTTATCGTTTGATTTTATATATATATATATATATATATAGAGAGAGAGAGAGAGAGAGAGAGAGAGAGAGAGAGATGAGCGATCAAATGCAAACTACCCAATTTGTATAAACTGTGCAAAACTCATTCAACCAATCATAACTTTTCACTTTGTTCATTTTTTGTAATTATGAGAGGTTGATTAATCATTTTTATTGTGTAGGGTGTTAATCATGGATATTATCATCTTCATTATTTTAATTTTAGAGACATACATGAAACCGTTTCATTAAAATTTCATTTTTTTTATTAACCTGAATATCCAACCCGCTATACGAGCCGACTAATCCCAGGGTGACCACCTGCTTTGCAGATAGCCCAGAGTCACCGCATTTGAACCTCCGTGGCCATAAGGGGATTTTTATTTCTCATTGGATTTGAACTTGGGACCTCCTGGTATTTTTGATCTTTGGAGCCAAGCTAAAACCAATCAAGCACCATCCTTGTGGTTTTAAAATTTAATTAAGTATTATATGAAACAATTTCATAACCATATGAAACAACTTCATCAAAAAAAGTATTATATGAAACAATTTCATAACCATATGAAACAACTTCATCAAAAAAAGTATTATATGAAACAATTTCACAAGAGTAAACAATTTAATGAAAAAATATCATAAGATTAAACAATGAAATCGACGGATGAGAATGGTTTGCACGATTTGTACAAATTGGGTGGTTTGCATTTGATCGCTATATAGCAAGAGAGAGAGAGAGAGAGAGAGAGAGAGAGAGAGAGAATGTGTGTGTGTGTTTCAAATACAAACCCTACAAACCAATCCCGAGAGTTTCAAAAGAATTCGAGACAACAAAAGACAAATATGCTAAGTTTTGAAAGGAAAAAAATACAGGTTAGAAAGAATCAACAACTTACAAACATAAGTAGACACAAGAAAACGGAGCCAAAGTAAGAAAAATTGTACACCTCTAGTCTAACTTAGAACTCCGGTAACCTAATTGTAGGGCAACTCGTTATTTTTTCATACTCGATACCTGCAAATCCGAAAGTCCCACATCTAAGCTAGCTACTAATTTTTCGCATTCGGTACCTCGAAAAATTATACACCTCTGGTCTCAACTCGGTAGCTCCGTTCCTCCCATCTATGCTAGCTACAGATCCCAAAGTCCCACATCTCCAAATTTGCTTTCAAAAATACACACTACAATAAAATCGGGTTTATAGAACGTTATAATAAGTTTAAGACTTCCAAAGCGTTAAACTTATTGCAACGCTTTTATATATTACGCATATTCGTTTGATCACATTAAATTTAAGCTATATAAAGTAGTTTGTTATTTTACTTAGAGATTTAATTGGTAAATGTTCTTGAATATTTCATCGAACACACCCACACCCATAAAATATTGAAAACAAGAACGAGCTCTGTGAACAGGTTGTAAATCAAGAATGCAAAAGAAAATCCCTAATTCAACAACAAGAACAAGAAGCAAAACCATAAATCAAGAACACAATTAAGATGGTGAAGGGTTGATGCGGAGATGATGCAACAGAGAACACCAAATCATATGAGAATACTTGACGAGATTGCAGAACAAAAAAACGTGAAAACCCAAAAGTTTATATGTTGTTTCTATGATGTCGTTGGAAAAGATAAAAAAAGGCAAAGAGGGGGATGGATGGTAGTCGGAGTTGGCGCTACTAAGGTTCCCCGAACTGTCCGGATCCCACGAGTGAATCCATGTGCTCTCAAAAATATATCCATGCATGAGATAGATAAAGAGGTAGGAATTTATCAAACGGGCCAAAACAATAACCTGTCGGAAACATTTACAAACTTTTGATGACTTCCAAAACAATATTAATATACTTAACCAAAGGGTTTTCGGCCTAGCGGTATGTGAGTCATTGGCCTCCTAGGAGGTCAAGGGTTCTAATTTAACCAAAGGTGAGTAGGGTGTGTGAGTTTTTATTCATTATAATTTAAAGATATTTTATGGAAGATTATCACAGTTCATTTATTATGAAAACCTCTTTATATTAGGAAACAATTGATATATTTATTAAATCGGATATTTAGTAGACTGTATCGACGGTTGAGAATGGTTAATTTATATACTAATGGTTTAGTTTGTGAATGAGGGGCTTAATCATTTGAGAACCATTAAATTGTGATAACCTTGAGAATTTATCCATCATGTGTTATTTTCATATGATTTTTTTCTATCTAGGCATACTATTTAATGTATTGATTAATATATACACTACTAGAAAATAAAGTATCATTGACGGAAATTAGCGATGGAAAAATCCTTCGCAGATCAACAAGGGATTGGCAAAACACCAGTTCCCTCACTGATCTACAAGGGATCAGCGAGAGAATTGGCCAAAAACCAGTTCTCAGTGAGGGATCAATAAAGGAATGATCAAAAACCAGTTCTCTCGTTGATCCATCGCTGATAGCATTACTAATGATCAGGGACAGAAGACCCCTTTAGCGACGGTTCAGCGAGGGAATTTTCCCTCGCTGATACTCTTCATTTTTATAGTGATATTTGTTTCTCAGTATGTTTATTTTATATGCATTCGTTTCACAATATGAATCTTTTTTACGTGTATTTTATGTTTCAGAAACACGTCAAAAATGTTTACATTGTGAAACAAATATATGCAACTCGATATTTTGAATCCTAATCTTTGACGAAAAAAATCATATAAAATAACCAATGATAGCAAAAGTTCATCATAATTTCATAAATTCTCTAAATAATTTCTACCAATATATATATATATATATATATATATATATA